GGGAGACGGGAAGTACATTTACTCGAACCAATCTGGAAGATTGGACGTAAAATCCTGAAGATTAAGTCATAAAAGACTAACAGTTGCGCACTATTTGCAACACATCATGTACTCTTTTCCTTACTAGTTTTCTCCCATTGGGTTTTTCTAGTGTGGTTTTTAACGAGGCATGAGTATGCTATAATGATGTAACTGGGGAAATGTTGCAAAATAATTGCTTCAATGGACAAACCCCAAAATCCTGAAAATTATGCAGTTTGCGTCCTGAAGGCTTATGGTTGTACTCTTTTTCAATTCCCTTAACTAAGTTTTTTCCATAGAGTTTTCTTAAGTTAAAGTGTTTAATGAGGCGACTAATATAATATATGTTTTTACATATATCATGTACTCTTTTCTTCAACTAGGTTTTTCCCACGTGGTTTTCTTAGTGAAGTTTTTAATGAGGCATGAATATATTTTCTATTGTACTCTTTTCTTGTCTAGGTTTTTTTCCACGGGATTTTCGTAGCAAGTTTTTGACGAGACAAGATCGTGATCCAATAATATCTAAGGGGGAGTGTTATAAATATATCATTATGTGGACATTATTATAGATTATATAACAGTTGTAACGATTTCTGTATTTATGTCTCCATTATTACCTTTCGTTACAAATGTATATTATATATATATGTTTTGTTGTAATATGAAAAGTGATATGAATAAGATGATCCTCTATTCCTCCCTAATCTCTCTCTTCCAAATATTCTTTTAACATAAATTAATAAAGGACTTTGGGTTGGTAACTTGGTATGTTGGTTATAAGCTTTGGGTTTAGTTCAAAAACTCAAGTAGTAAGTTTTCCTCAATCATAACCTTGATATGGAAAAATAGCATCCTGAGCCTTTTAATTTTTCTCAGCACACCTATAAATTAAACTTGTTAAATATTTATGATTGTGGGAAATTGCTATTTTTGAATGTCAGTAGTTAGGTCGCTATTTTTACTACTGAGTACTAAATTTATTACTCCATATGGCTAACCATGAGAATGAATGTCAGTAGTTAACTAAATTAATTACTTTTTGAGTTATTTTATTCAATGCGGACAAATCCGATTAAATTCGCCTGAATCTGAGTTATACAATATCTACGGGTTTTTATAAATTAATTCGATCGGATTGAATTTATAAAATACAAACCATAATCTGAATGCGTTGGCAATTTTTACATCCGAACCGCCGGAACAGATCCGTTACACAAGGCTAATTAATATCACGGCCATTATGTCATGGACCGCGGTGTACGTGCACCGCGGTCAAAACGGCGTCGTTTCTTTAAGTAAAGAAACTGCGCGTTGTTAATTTTAACAGGGTGCGTATTTTTTTTTATATGTTAATTACCAATTGACACTATAGTATATCTAAACTGACACTGTCTCACGTATTATTTTTATATTGTCAAATGAAACTGCAGTTATATCAAAATGATACTGTAGTTGTGGTGAAATGAAACTGCAGTGTATATAAAATGAAACTGAATAACATTTCACATATTTGAGTGTATATTGTACAATGAAGCTGTAATTATATCAAAATGATCATGTAGTTGTGTTTTAATAAAACTATAATGTATATAAAATAAAATTAAATAACATTTTTACATATTTGAATCTATAAATATCGAATGAAACTGTAGTTATATCGAAATGAAACTGTAGTTGTGTTGAACCGAAACTGCAATGTATACAAAATGAAAATGAATAACAGAGTTACTTTTTGCGAAAGGGTGCAGAACGGCGAAAAACGAATGCTGTTTCTTTTCATTAAACAAAACGATATCGTTTTGATGGGCGACGATTATGCACCGCGGTGCACGTAATTTGCCTTAATATCAAGGCCTACTACCTCTATCTTCAATTGTTATGCTGTGGAACCGTGTCCACCTTGCAGGTGGACACGGTTCTATGTTCATAATTACTGAATTATATATTCATAATTATAAAGTTATATATTTATAATTTTTGAATTCATATTCATAATTATTACACTCTATATTCACAATTACAGAACTATATGTTTATAATTACTGAATTATATGTTCATAATAATAGAACTATATGTTCATAATTTTTGAACTATACATTTATAATTATGAACAGTTTTGGAACCGTAGGTGGACACGGTTCCACAGCATAATTTGTCCTCTATCTTAGAAATCAATTATTATTGCATGGACCATGGTCCACACAATTGTGTGGACCATAAATAAAAGGTACATTTTTAATATACTAAGGGTACATTATTTATGTACGTAAGGTACATTTGTTGAAAGTACATTTTTAATATACTAAGGATACATTATTTTATATAATGTACCTTCAGTACAAAAATAATGTACTTTTAATATATTAAAAATGTACCTGATATTCATGGTCCATAAAATAATTTGCCCTTAGAAATGTCTGACCGTGTTCCTAAGGCAAATTATACCGTGGACCGCGGTCCACAAAGCATTGTGGACCATGGTCCAAAACGGCACCTCTTCTTTTAATGAAAAGAAACGGCACCCGTTCCGCATAAAGCAGATCTGTTTGTATAACATATTCAGTTTCATTTTATATACACTGCAGTTTCATTTCAACACAACTACAGTTTCATTTCGATATAACTACAATTTCATTCGACATTATTCACTTAAATATGTCAAACTATTATTTTAGTTTCATTTTATATACACTACTATAGTTTCATTACAACACAACTACAATATAATTTTGATATAACTACAGTTTTATTGGACAATATACACTGTAATTTCATTTTATATACACAGCAGTTTCATTTCAACACAACTACAGTTTCATTTCGATATACTACAGTTTCATTCGACATTATACACATAAATATGTGAAACTGTCATTCGGTTTCATTTTATATACACTATAGTTTCATTACAACACAACTACAATATCATTTCGATATAACTACAATTTCATTGGACAATATACACTCAAATATATGAAACTGTTATTCATTTTCATTTTATATACACTGCAATTTCATTTCAATTCAATTACAGTTTCATTTGATAATATAAAAACAATATGTGAGACAATTTTATTTTAGATACACTGTAGTTTCATTTTGTAATTAACACATCAAAAATACAAGTTCCGTTAAGCTGTAACGACAGCCTTTTTGGAGCAAATTATATCGTGCACCGCGGTGCATAATGAATTATGCACCGAGCTTCTAAACGACGTCATTTTGTTTAATGAAAAGAAATGGCACCCGTTACACGCCGTTTTGCAAAAAGTTACTCTATTATTCAGTTTCATTTTGTATACACTGCAGTTTCATTTCGATATAACTACAGTTTCATTCGATATTATAACACTCAAATATGTGAAAATGTTACTTAATTTTATTTTATATACACCATAGTTTCATTAAAACACAACTACATGATCATTTCGATATAACTACAGCTTCATTGGACAAATATACACTCAAATATGTGAAATGTTATTCAGTTTCATTTTATATATACTGCAGTTTCATTTCGACACAACTATAGTATCATTTTGATATAACTACAGTTTCGCTGGACGATATACACTCAAATATGTGAAATTGTTATTCAGTTTCATTTTGTATACACTGCAGTTTCATTTCAACACAACTACAGTTTCACTTCAATTCAATTGTAGTTTTATTTGATAATATAAAAATAATACGTGAGACAGTGTCAGTATAGATACACTGTAGTTTTTGTTAGTAATTAATACACCAAACATGCACGCATCGTTAATTGTAACGGCGCGTCGTTTCTTTACTTAAAGAAACGACGCCGTTTTTGGACCGCGGTGCACAATATAATTGCTGTGTTTTTGGACCATGGTGCACAATATAATTGCTGTGTTTTTGGACCATGATCCACGATATAATTGTTGAGTTCCGATCATTATTGCGTGGACCATTGTCCACATACCGCTGTGGACCATAGTCCAAAATCATAAAGTCCATTATTCTAACTGATAAAATACATTATTCTAAAATATAAAGTAAATTATTCTAAGTCATAAAATACATTATCTTACCCCATAAATTTCATTATTTAAACACATAAAGTACATTAATCTAACTCATAAAATATATTATTTTCAATGTTGTAAAAATCTCGCCTAGGCACCTATCAATTTTGCACGCAAAGGAAGGAATTTTTTTTTTTTAAGGAAGGGAATACGCTATTACATCAAATGCCTCCATTGAGACTCAAACCTATCATCTCCTATATAGGGGAGCAACATGGTACCATTGGATTACAAGGTCCTTGTTGAGCAAGGAATTTTTTAACATCAATAATTTGCGCTGGTGATACAGACTTCGTGACCTAGGTTTGTGTTGGTGGCGGTGGTGGTGGTGGCAGTTGCGTTGGTGGCGATGGTGGTGGGGTGGTGGTGACGGTTGTGGCAGTGGTGCTGCTGGGGTGGTGGTGGTGGTGGCGGCGATGATGATGTCGATGGTAGCGGTGGCGATGGTGGTGGCAGCGGTGGTGGTTCTGGTGGTGGTAGCGACAGTAACGGTGAAATAGGAAATAGAAACTTTAGGTTATTCCCGAGAACTCAGGAATAATCTAATACAGGGGGTCTCCAGGAATCTCTATTCCCTTTGTAAGGGGAATAAGTCATTCCCGGGAACAATGTTCCTTGGAATACAAGTAGTTACAAAATAGAGGAATATACTTATTATTGAAAATGCTATGCCATTTCAAACTTATTCCGTGAATCAAATAGCCCATAGTAGATATTAAATAAGATATTAACCGGATTAGAATTGGAAAACAATTTGCTAAAAATAAAAAAAGAATTGAAATAATGTTAAAGTAGAAATTGACTTTTGTCAAAAGGAAACAAATATTTGTAAGATTCGGAGCTTTTAGAAGGCTATGCGGATGCCATTAGCCCAATACCCGAATATCCGCACCCATTTCCCGGAATATTCGGATCCTTACAACAGTTACAAGCGTATGCTTTCTCTCTCCTCCTTCTCTCTTCCTCTATTGCTCTATATAACATACCCGTACCCCTCCCTGTAGTTCCTAGAATCCTGGCCAAAAATTATTCTATAATTTGAGCCCCTTCCACGAAGGGCCAAAACGCCCATACACTGCCATTGCCACGGCAACATTCCTCAGGTTCTTTCATTTTACGCCCTCTCTTAAAATATTTACAATTTGTAGCTTATCCCATCAATTATAATTATGTTTATTAATCACTATGGTGAAATTTCTATGTTCTTTTGATGAATTCTCAAATTTTGTGGGTTTTACTGCACGCTTCAGAGATTACCCAGGATTAATTTATCTAATATTCTTGAACACCTCCCTTTTCTGCGCGAAAAGAACAATTGCACGTTGCATGTTTGAATTTGGGAATAATTATGATTGTCCAAATTTGGCTATTTGTCAGAATATATGCATGTTTTTGTTTCTTTGTATGTACAATGAACTTGCTATTTTTATCTAGTTTTAAGGAAATGAAATGTAAGTTGGGGTACTAATGTGAGACTGCATTCTTTGATCGTTAGCTTTTCAAATGATGTGTTTTTCATTATTTGACTATACCTTGAGTTTTTATTACATGTTTTAAAGAATACCTGCAATGGATTCTTGGGGTGTGTATTAGTCATGATGGTGCTCATTGTATGCATTTAAAAGTTAACTATATACTGCAAGAAATATGGGAGTTACATGGTTAAATATAGGGACAGCTATGAGTATCCAAGTTTACATTTTTGTGTTGGATACAATGAGGTTTGAAGCTTCATTCCCATTATGGGGGAACCTATTATAGAAACCTCAACTGAACTGAAAGATGGACTTTTAGCCGTGATGCATGTGGAGACAGTGCATTGGATTCAAATTTAGATACTTTATTTTGTCCCTCTCTACTAAAAGTGTTGGCTATTAGTGAGGTGACACATTTGGGGGCTTGTAGGCTAGTTGAGTCAAATCCCGCAATCCCATCTCTAGGGTAGGAGCGGTGAGAACCCCTTAAGTTTGGAGTTCAAACTTATATATATCCTCAATGCTTAAAAGTAAATCGTATTAAGTTTATTAAACATTTATTATCTTTTTATGTTACTAAATTATTCTCTTTTCTAATGACATAGAATTATCATTTAATAATGTTGATTTGCAATTAAATTTAAAAAAATTTCCTTTTTTTTTTTTTTTTTGAGAAATGATTCAATGGTTTGATACTAATTAGCATTTTTACTTCCCTAAAGAACCTTTTTTGAATGTGAAAGTAATAATAAGGATCTTGTTTTGATTGTGAAAGAAATACATATCAAGGCTGAAGTATAGAGGGTGCTTGGAAAGGTTTGAAACTTGTTTCCTAATATATGAATAGGATGGTTGTAAAGAATTGGCTGTAATCTTCCTTGGCATTTAGCTGAAAGTGATAAAGGCCCACCTTTTTGCTACTTCTGGAACAGTGAGTTGGATGCTCATTGCTGTGAACTGTTAGAATATCATAACCTTATTATAGCCCTAGTTGTAGGCTTTAGCCCATTATGCAGCCCATGATTGATATATCTATATAAGCATTCCATCATTAGTGCATGAGTATGATGTGAGAACATGTGCTACTAATATAATCAATGCACTTGCATGTTTGATTTTGCATCGCCGGCAGGTGGCACTACCACTTACTAGACCTTTCAATGCTTTATTTATTCACGTTGTATTAAAGCCATCTATTTTACTTGCAGTTAATCTTTCTTTTTATTTCCAATCTGTGCTTGTGTTCCATTGAACAATTACGGCTAATGCCTTTTCTCATATCCATCATCTTCTAATGGTCTTATCATGAAATCAACCCTACATCCATGTTCAGTATCTTGTCATGACACTACTCCTAGAGTGCAATTCCTGGAACCCCCTCCATGGCTCCACGTGCTAACTAGATGGGTTAACCCGTCAGTCGTGATATTAGCTTCCCTTATGCTCTGCTGTATTTTCCAATGGCCCTTGCCAGTCCACTTTTGGCACCGTAGGTGTTGCTATGTTTTCCATGGACTGCCTTTGACATTGTCATGCATTTGGCTCTTTGATTTGGTTGCTAATGCTGTTGGAGCTTCTGATACTAATTTCACTTGCTATCTAATAGGGCTTGCTATTTTTTCTATGTTTGGTTTGGATACAATTGTTCCATTTGGTCTCCCTATACCAACTCCTGGAGCCTTTCTTTTGATACTGGTCCAAAATATGTATAAATACTGTTTTGTAAACTTTGCAAGCTTGGTGCATATATACTGGTCCTAGCTTTAGGCCGTTATATGGCCCATGATGTATGTTACAAAAGTAAAGAGAGAATATTTCTTAATGTGCTGTTGTATATTGTTTCAAACTGTCATATAGAAAAGAGAATACAAAGCCCTATAAATAGGTACTAGAAGACTACGAATAGGAAACAAGTTTCCATATGCCCTACCTACTTAAATCCCTAAGACTAATTTTTAGAGATTCTAATTTCTAAATATCAAATATATTCTATAACACTCCCCCTCAAGTTGGAGCATAGATTTTAATCATGCCCAACTTGTTGGGTTAACGCGTCACCTATACCTACGGACAGTTGGGTTAACTCAACGTGGTGGACCGAACAAGCTTGGGATTGGATGCCACCAATACCGCTACTCTGGGAACGCCACCAATACCACGAACAGCTGGGTGAACTCAATGTGGACCGAACAAGCTTGGGATTGGACACTCCCCCTGAACTGGAAGCTTGGACGCCACCAATACTGTAACTCCGGGTGAACAAAAATGTGGACCGAACCCGCTTGGACACACAAGGTAAAGAAGACAAACTCCGAATCGGAGGACACAAATTCTTTACCAACGAAAGGGAAACATGCCCTAAACGACAAGCATAAAAAAGGAGAGACAGCGCCAAAACAAAAAGCGAGACAACACCAAAATACGCAACGGACCCCATCCGTCTAGAGGTCAATGTAGCGACCTCCAGTCGCAAACCCCTCACCAATCACCCTCTTCATCATAAGATCCCGAGGCAGCAGCATACCAGTCATACCCACCAAGACAGATCACAAAACACACAAAAAAGGGAGCCTAAAGGGGTACGAAACAATCTAACCGTAGAACTAAAAAGCAATGGTCCAAACTAAGTCCAGAACTGAGAAGAAGGGACTCAGAAGACCCAGGAACTGCCAACAGAACAATTTTCCGATTGCCGGAAAGGCCACACGCACCGGCGCGAAGGGCGGTGGACAGCGCTGGCGCGTTGGGCTCACGCGCTGGTTGGACGGGGCTCGAAATCTATAAAAAATCTTTTATCATAAAGGCTTAGATACAATGTTACGAAAGTAAAGAGAGAATATTTCTTAATGTGCTGTCATATATTGTCTCAAACTGTCATATAGAAAAGAGAATACAAAGCCCTATAAATAGGTGTTAGAAGACTACGAATAGGAAATAAGTTTCCATATGCCCTACCTATCTAAATCCCTAAGACTGCCTAATCTATAGAGATTCCAAATATCAAATATATTCTATAACAATGTATCTATATAAGCATGCAATCTTCAGTGTATCAGTATGAGTATTAGACATTACTAATGTAATTGATATACTTCTGCTCTCTATGGTTTTCATATATTAACTTCTTGCTTGATGCTGCCCACTAGATCCTTCAACGAGAAAAAGAAAATGTCATTACTTGGGTAAGAACTCCAAGAAGAGAAGGATTATGTAAAATTGAAATTTACATTCTCCTACAAGTGCAATCATTTGTATTTGCTGCATTTAGCAGTGGACCTTATATATGTCTATCTTTTTGAGAAAGTGGTCATTGGCCTTTGGCAATGTGTGTTGATTTTAACCTTACTAAAATAGTTGTACTAAATTCTTGTGTTTGAATTATTACAGATTTAGGGTAGATTTTCTTTTATTTTGATTTCTCTGTAAATAACTTGTCTTCTATCTTGTTACAGTGGTAAGCACATTGATTGCCTGGCTTGTTGTCAATATTGAGCCTTGCATCTTTTTGCTGGCAATCAGTCAAAATTATTTTGAATTTTGACTGATTGCCATGTGCCATTATGACTCACCAGACTGCTGATAAACCTAGTAAAGCCTTAGAGGGAGTTCATGGAGTACATCTTGTATCCCATTCACCATATATATTGGGGGAGCGAAAGCTACATGGAGACTTCCATCCATCAACATGTGAGAATTTGTCTATTGGAACAAGCCACAGGCTTACAGTGCAGTAAGTGAGAATCACCTTCACTTAGTCAAAGATCTTTTACCAAAGTTATTTGACATAGAATTCCATTTTGTTTTACCAGGAGAGTTTGGGAGCAAAGACCTGGTTGCTTGAGGCCTATCCGTTGCTGTGTCAATGGTAAGCTAAAGAGACTTTCTTTACTGTCTTCCAAATTATTTACTGCAATTATCCTCTCTGGCATGAGCCTCATATACTTTATCTGTTTTTTTTATAGGTGATAGAACTCCTGCCGAAAGAATTGTTAATGTCCTTACTTCTCTTCCTTTTATTGCGCTTGGTATCCAGGCTCCAAGGTAAGATGTCTTTGGGGATTAATATTCATTGTACACTTTATAATTTAAAGTTAACTGATTTGCTTATGATGCAGGAGGAATCTCAACTGCAAACTCTATGCAAATTCTTTGATAGGAGTAGGAATAGCCTCCAGTATGTACCATGCATCAAGAGGAAACTTGAGAAAGTATTTGAGGTGGGCTGACTACACAATGATTGCAACAGCAACAGTGGTAAGTTTTTCACTTGTGATCTGAAAGTAAAGTGCTTGCATTTGAATGATCATCTTGTGTTAGTGATGTACAGAATTATTTCCCTTGTAGGAATGGCGATGAATTATCATGTGTGTCAGTGTTCAACTCTTTATAAGTATTGTTTTTGCTTTCCTTATTTTATCTTGTTGGACGGGTGGTTTAATGTTGTTTCATGTGATTGCTGTAACCGGTTGAAAATGAAAGGACAAGGTTGTTCTGCTGCATCACCCTTGTAATAGATAGTTCTCATACTTCTAGATACAAGCGTCCAACTGTAGAGTGACTCTCTTGTGAGACTAGTGAGACGGGGTCAGGTCAAGATGGAAATGTAATACTTATACTGAAAAAATTAATACTAATCAGGAATAATGTGTCCCTTATAAGGGAAAGTATAATACTTTTGAGAAAAAAATGTATACTTTAAAATCAAAATGTAAAATTATTACATTTTTCTTCAAAAGTATTACACTCATAAGTAACAAACAATTTATTCCTGATTAGTATTACATTTTTCAGTATAAGTATTACGTTTTCATTTTGATCCAACCCGTCCCACGGACAAGGATCCGTGAGATGGTCTCACACAAGTTTTTGCTCCAACTGTAATATCTGTTTTAGCAAATTCCACTTTTAGTTCCCCGCTATTGTGCCATTGCCAAGGATGTGCAAATAATAGCCAAGGATGTAATGTGGCAAAATTAAAAAATGACTAAATGTGGCAATGCCACAATAGTTGAGAACTAAAAGTGGAATTTGCTCTATCTGTTTTCATCGTTTCTTATGAAAATCCATGCCTGCAAATTCCTTTTACTTTAGCACTTGTTATCTGAGGGTGAGGGAGAGAGAGAGAGAGAGAGAGAGCGAGAACTAATAATTAAGGTTAATTGTTTTCTTACATTTTCGGCTGTACATACTGGATAGCAAAAGCACCTCACAGAAACAGTATTGTTTGTTTGCTTTTAAGAAGTGTTGGAACTTTTAGCACTAACATACTAAGGCACCTCTTTTATTTGTTTTAGATTCCCAATCTAAACTTTTCCTGTGTTATTGATACTTACTGTAAAGGGGAAGATGAAAGAAGGGCTTAGGGTTGTAATCATCTCATACGATAGTATTCATAAATTTTTGAACATTTGACGTTTGTTAAGAGTCCCACATTGAAAATATAATATAAGAGATAATATATGGGTTTATAAGGCCATGAGTTAGGCTAGCTAATTGACTAGATTCAGTCTTTTAGTGTAGTTTGGCCCATGTGCACTATAGCCCAATTGAGTGACATTGGCCTAATATTAGATTATAACAATGTTTTTATGCAGTCTTTGGTGTGTTTGTTAGCTAACCAAGGAAATGTTTCCTGGTGAGTTGTTTGCAGTGTCTATCACGGGCCCTTAGAAATGAGAATCCAAAACTTTTGATGGCTGCATCTGCTGCTCTTCTACCTATCCAGCCTCTGATGGTTTCTGCACTTCACACAGGGATGATGGAGGTAAACTTTATATTCTTGTTTGTTTTTCAATGTTATATTCTCAATATTAAATTTTATATTTTATGTTCTGTTTATGTTTTTAACTTCAAATTCTAAAAAAAATTTGTTTATATTTTTAATTTTAAAACATTTTGTTTATGTTTTTTATAAACAGAATTCGTATGTAATGTTTATTTATAATATTAAAAGAATTATATTTTTTATTTGGTTTATGTTTTTTAACTTTAAATTTTAAAAACATTTTGTTTATGTTTTTTATAAACACAATTTGTATGTAATGTTTGTTTATAATATAAAAAAATTATATTTTATAATCTGTTTGTGTGTTTCTTGTTAAATTTTTAAATGAATATTAAATATTATATTTTATGTGATTATTACTATTTTGATATATTTTGGATATTTTCAATAATGTAATATTTTATGTTATTGTATTTAATTTAAATCACTCTTTATTTAGATTTACTTCAGCCTATTATAATGTCCTTAATAACCTCTGCACGAGTTAATACCAACTGAGATCCTTCGAGTATAGCAACACCGCCACGGTTAGTTCTAAAGTTTTAATTTAACCACCCATAGTCTTTCAACTTTCAAAGTTAACCACTCATGGTTCTTCAACTTTCAAATTTTTAACCAGCCCTAGTCCTAACTTTGCCCTTGAATTTGAAAGTTGAAGGACTATGGGTGGTTAAATATAAAGTTTAGGACTGAACATGACAGTGCTGCCAGTGCCACTATATTAGAAGGATCCCAGCTGGTATTAACTCATCTCTGCACAGTAGCACAGATGTGGTATCTTAGCTCAAGAATGATATTCTGATTCGTTTGAAGTTTATAGATTGTGAGATGCTCCTCACCCAAAAAAAAATAGATTGTGAGATGCTGATGATATTTGGTTCATCCAATCCAATACTTACACATTATCTATATCTCAAAGCCACAAATACTACTATTTGAACATGTGCGTAATTATATATATATCCTTACAACATTATTATAAAGAGGAGTAAACGTTGGTTTTACGTGCAGGTATCATTTGCGAAAAGAGCATTCCAAGATCCCGACCTCAGAATGGCTCACAACGTGCACAAGATGTCTTCATTGTTGGGTGGCGCACTCTTCATCGCGGATGACATGTTCCCAGAAACGCCATTTCTCCATGCTGGTTGGCATCTTGCTGCTGCCATAGGGGTCAGCACCTGCAACAAGCTTCTCACTTAAGTACATCCACGACCTCAATCAATTTGCCGAAATCACATCTCCTACCTCATCTTCCAACTTCCCGTGGCAATGACAGAGATTCTGTCTTGGACAAACCTACAATTCATTTAGAATAATTGCGTAAAAATCTGTATTATTATGGTTCAGGTACTTGAGGTAATTACTGTTGCCTTAGAAATTTTAATTGGTGAAGGATCTAATGAGAGCAATAAACTGCTCCAATCTACGATTATTATGTTATGCTAGTTCATAATCGATTATGGAAAAAATAATGCATATATTCTGAAATAGTTCATAATGTTGCTGATTAGTGTTGGAAAGGTTTTCTCTTGTTCTTGTTAACAAGCCTTCTTCCTCTTGGTCTTATGAGAAGAGGAAAACCAATCTAGCTGAGGAAGTTCTCCCCTTTACCCTTGTTGAAAATATCCTTACCGAACGCATAGTTAAATTCAACTTCTTCTGGGATACTATAGCTTCGATTTGGACACCAGGCAAAGGAATGATGATGATAAAGATAGTATCAGCTAATCTCTTTCTCTTTCACTTCTATGAATTGTGTGTTAGAAGACGGTCCTTAGCTTGGTCTTATGAGAATAGCCTTCTCATTCTCAGTAAGCTGGAAACAAACCAATCTCCTTTTGACGTGAACCTCTACCATGCAGACTTTTGGATACAAGCTTGCAATATACCTTTGAACCTCTAAAACACAAAAACAGCACAGACAATTGGAACATTTTTAGGAGCGTTTATTAAAGTGGAAGGCTTTCATTCACATCAATTTGATCTTCGAAGGGTTTAATTGACGAAATTTTAAATAATTCGAGGATCAAATTTGTTGAAATTGAAAACTAGGAACTACATTGACAATTGGGATATATTTGAGGGACCAAAATAGTGATTTCCCCTATAGAATTTTCATGTTGTTAGGATATACGATTCTTGATGAAGCTACTGTAAAGTTTACAAAAGAATTTTTACATATTAAAAATCTCAAGTTACTCTTGTTGGTCAAATTTTCATAAAAGCAACCTGAGAAATTTGTCAATTTCTTGTAGGTTTAATAAGGAACCTAGCATGTTGAAATGAATGTTCGACATAGTTTTGGATAAACGAGAGTGGAGGTTCTTAAAATTAACCTAAGCTCTAGCTTAGGTAGCATATGAACTAGGATTGAAAATCATTGGTCTAGATTTTCTCCTTCTTAGAATATAATTCTAATATTCTGACATGTTATTATAAAATGAATTGGATTTTCTAACATGTTTGTTAAAAAATGAGCATCAAACGTATGTAGAAATCGTGGCTTCTACAAAAAAGACCAATGTGAAAAGATGCTATTATAAAAGTATATTCTAACTTAAAGAATCATACTCGGGAACTGGTTGATCTTCCTCCGGATTGTAAAATCTTAGGATCCAAATGAGTCGTTAGACAGAAGATGAAACCGGATGGTTACATTGAGAAATACTATGACAGGATTGTAGTTAAATATTACAGGCAATGCAAGTGTCACGGTTACTTCGATACGTATTCTACTATGATGATAATAAAATCTATTAGAATGATACTTTCCATAGCCGTATTGCGAGATTCGGAAGTTCATCAAAAAATGGATTTTAAAATTGCTTTCTCAAATGGCAAGTTGGATGGAACATCCTGAGGGTTTTGTAGTTTCAAGCCATGGAAAGAAGGTGTGTAAATTAGTAAAGTTGTTGTATGGTTTAAAACAATCTCCTTAGCAATTGCACATGAAGTTTAATCATGCAATGATGACCAATGGATTTAGTATACATGAAAGTGAAAAGTGTATCTATGTTAAGGAAATGATAGACGATTATGACATTCTTTGTTTATACGTAGATAATATACTCATCGTTAGTAACGATCAAATGATCTAATCTATCAAGAATATGGTAAATTTGAGATTTGACATGAAAGAGATGGGTTTGGCAGATTTAATGTAAGACCCCCAAACAAGACCTATATAAAAGCCTTAACACATGCATATTAAACGACAAAACTAGCACAGCGGAAGATAAAACGAAACTAGATAAAAGAAATCCAACGGGGTGTCACGCCACGTCTACCAAACACGGTAAACGCTACGGCAAACAATCTGCAAGTGTATACATCTATCCCAAAACATCAGTCTAACTACATTGGCGCACAGGCAACAAAAGCAAGGATAAAGGTGCTAAGCTACCAGGCTCTAGACATCGCGCTCCTCTAAACATCACCTGAAAGATACAAAGATAAACATTGGGACGATGCCCGGTCAGCGAATATTGCTGGTAACTCACCAATACCGTTAAGTATCATAAATAGATAGATATAAGTCATAAAAATCATTTTCGAAACGGAATACATATATATAAGTCAAAACCAAGATCAACCGTCAACACAAGACTCATCACTCTCAAGGATAACACGGGAACACATCCCAAACCACAAAGGTTAACCACACGCAAAGGATAAAGACTCACCCAACGGCAACACATGCCAAACAACACAAGCCTCCGTGACTACACACGTCACGAGAGAAGATCACACAACGCCGGCTTTACAAGCCCTCGCAACATCACCCATCACGAGTTGGTATGCCTTCCTTATGCCCTATTCCAACCTTATGGCTACCCCTAACCTTGTACCTTCTTTCCAACCATTACCTCCAGAACCCCTGTACTTCTTAGTCCAACCTTATTCCCCCGGGACCGTCGTCCCCCACCAACAACCACCAACGAAAACCACCAATCACGGCAACACATGCCTAGATAACACATGTTATTCCCCAAAAACGTGGACCCATCACTCAGGCCACAACTCCATAATCACGTCACGGCCACCACGAGGACCGCTGCAATACCTTGGTGACTAGTGTCCCATACCACTAATCGTGCAATCCAGGTAGAGCCATACACGCACCACAACTCAACAAGAGTCAAACAACGGATCACAACGAAGGTATGAAACATAGTCAATCAAGGAACGGGTCACAGCCCAACGACAACAACGATGGATAACACAAGTTATCATCAACCCAACGGAAGGTACAAACAACACACACGCTAGCATTAAGACAGCAAACTAGCATGCTTATCAACGGGGAAACTCAAGATAGTTCCGAGGAACACACAAGACACCTCTTGGTCCAACGAAACACAATGTTGAACACTTAGCACGATTCAAGACACCAAATTCCTACATGGATACCTACCATATAGTTCTAGACGTACGAAACATCTAGAAGACACTCAAATAGTTCCTCAAAAGAACAACGGGAAGCCAAAAGACCAAATACCGAGTCAAACAAATCACGGGGAACAAATCCCGAACGAAAACCACCGTGTTCCCCGCGGGTGGACCCACGGGTAGTGCCCCACCCGTGGTCCCGCCCGCGGGAACACATCCCCACAGGCCTATGTACCCGCGGGTAGGCCGGCGGGTGGTGCCCCGCCCGCCGTTCCGCCCGCGGGGACATCCCTGTTCCACAACAAATCCCTTCGGGGATTTTCTTCTCCAAACACAAATTCAAGTCCAAAACATGCCAAATCTCACCAAACACAACAAAATGACTTGAACCATGGAAAATGGCAAGAAATGGCACAAAGGAACCCTAAACACAAGCTCTAGATGCAATATCACAAGACAAATGCATAAACCCTCACATTTCATAGCAAAACACATGTAGAATCCAAGAAATCACATATAGATAAGCAAAATAGGTTTTGTAGAGCATGGGTTACCTCTTGAAGACCAAAAGACTTCACTTTACACCACAACAAGCTCTCCACAAGGCTTACTTTCCAAACCCAGTTCAAGATCAAACCAAAAGATCATAAAGATCCTACCTTTAAGAAAAAGACAACTAAGATGGAACCAAAAAAACAAGATGAACTTAGATCTTACCCTCCTAGATGCCCAAATAGGTGAAAGGTTGAATCTTGGAAGCAAATCTTGGAATCTTGACAAGGGTCTCAACTTGGCTTGGAGAATAAGCTACACTTCTTTTCTAGAGAGAAGGTGGAACTAATTTCTAAGAATTGTAGGGAATGAAATGAAGAAGTCTTCTAGGTTAGGTTACAATACTAAATCTTGGTGAAAAGACAAGAATACCCTTACTAACCCTTAGAAAGTGTAAGGAACAAGGGAACTCCCCTCAAAGCACAAGGTACAAGCACAACTTAAAGGTTGACAAGTCAAATTCTAGTCCTTGAGTATTAAAAAATTAGGATTTTAGGAATTAATTCCTCAAATACAATAGGATTAATTACTCAATTAATCCATGGATTGAATGTGGATTTTTGGGGTGTCACATCCTCCCCCCTTCAAAGAAGCTTCGTCCCCGAAGCTTGGGTACGACGAATTAAAAGCGAACGGTGAAAAGGAAACGACATTGTGACAAGAAGTTCAAGAATAACTCTTTTGGTCAAAGACTCCAAAAGAACTCACAAGGATTCCAAAGCAAGAAAGAAGACATTTCAGATTCAAGGGTTGGCAAGAGGTCAACAAATGGATAGATTGAGCATCAAGAACTCTAACCTCAACACAACCACCAACTTCTAGACAACAACCAAGAAGTAAACTACTAAATCCAAACACCACTATCAAACTAGCTAAACAACAAGGCAACAAACAAAACAAGCAAGCACACAAAGCACACAACAACCTATCACCAAGCTAACAACGGCTAAGAAAGAAACAACAAGGAAAAAGCGAACGGGATTACCGCAACACAAACTAAAACTCCTCGCTCTCCGACTCCTCGGCCTCTTCGGACTCCTCTTCGTCTTCGTCTCTGTGGCTAGAACTGGCGTCAATCTGGTCCAGCCTCTGATGCACTGCGACGAACTGCGCCTTCATAAACGCAAAGCTTTCGGCGATCAAGCTGTTCTACTGACGAAGCAAGGCGACGACGTCATGCTCCCTCTTTGTGCGAGCTTCCTTCCTTCTCCGGTTTTCCTCCCTGTCCGAATCACTTTCTTCAGCTTCGGCGGCCTCCGGTGCTCCTACCTCTTCTTCTTGGTCAGCTCCCTCCTCAACTTCCTCGTCACCGCCCAAACTCTGGACTGCGAGGCTCAACTTCCCGACATGGATTCCAAGCTCAGCAGCTAACTCCGCCCTCTCATCAGGTGCTTTCCTTGCAACCTCTTCTAGTGTGATGTACTCACCATCATCCAACCGAAATAGATTACAACTCCGGAGATTGGTGGTATCCAACACCATATTTCCCACGGCCTTCGGGAGGCAACCGTCCACACTAACACCTCTATTAACCAAGATCCAACTCAGCACCATCCC